ACATGTCATCCTGTGGCTCTGCGTTTTCTACGAGCAGAGACCAGCGTTGGCCTCACCTAACCCGCTTCGCCATGCAGACTGCATGCCGGGAGAAGATGAATATGTTTCTCCAGAAGTAGATTAATAAATAGCATCTGAGGAATGAGCTAATAAAGACAGTGCTGGGTGGGAAGATCCTGCTGAGAGCTGGGCTGTCAGTGAGCCCCACTGGGTCCCTGCAGTTAACGGACAGGCCAGGAGGAAAGTGAGCCAGCGCCACCTGCCGGAGCCCCACAGCGGTGCACCTGTGAAGCCTGGGAGGGGCGGCCTGTGGCCACCTTCAAGGGCTGGAGGGTGCAGCGAAAACCCTTCCCCGCCAGGCGGGAGGCCTGACCCCTGCCTGCCCAGGAGCTTTGTGCAGATCTCTTGCCCCCTCTGAATCGCGGTTCCTCTCTGTGAAGGAGAAGCAACACTGTTTGGTGAGACAGATGTGGCAGGCCTGGCTGTGTCACCTCCTCTGGGCTGACTTCCTAAATGGGCAGCACAGCCCCTGCTGTGGCTCACAGTCCTGCCGCTGCTGCATGTCTCCACCCCTTTCAAGCTCCCATTCTAGTAAGTGGAAAGCACTGTGCTCTCATCTCAGCATCCAGGAAGCTGGGGCAGAGGGAAGTCAGCCAGGCTGAAAGGCCCCGCAGAAATCAAAGCGGCACAGTGTCTGCGGGAGTCCCCTCCGTGCCGTGCAGCCCCTCTCCGGCGGATCTGTGGACACACTAGGCCGTCCTGACAGTGCAGGAAGGATCGCAGGGAGCAGCCCGACCCTCACACCCTAGTTCACACCTGCCAGCCACGGTGAGCAGTCTGCCTGCCTGGGACTCAGAGCCCAGGGCAGCTGTCGCCAACCAGCTGTGACTCAGAGGCCCTAAACTACACTTCACCACCGGGGCACGTGTCCGCAGTGCTGGTTCCAGGGAGCTCACAGCAGTCTGCGCGGGGCAGCCACGGCACTCAGGATGGTGGAGGCGAGGAGACCGCGGCCTGCCCGTGAACCAGAGAGGGCAGCGTCCTGGCCTGTGAGTCCCTGCCTGACACCTTCCCGTGCCTGAGCCTCTGGGTGCCTCCCAGAGCCCCAGGGACTGTCAGTCCCTCTTGGCATTGATTTTCTGTCCCCCATTTCTCTGCCCTGGGACTCTCTCTCCTGGAACAGCCCTCCAGTGGGGACCAGCGCATGCTGCTGCCATCGAGGCACAGCGAGGTGCCAGGACCACCGTGTGGAGAAACCCAGGCAGCTGCCACCGGAATAGTGGCTGAAGAATAGGCGTGTGCGTGCAGGCAGGCGGGGAGAGCCGCCACCAGGGCTGGGTGGCAGCAACAGATGCCACCTGCTCTGGGGGAAAAGTCTCGTATGCATTTACCGTGACCTCACGTTATGGTTTCAGGTTAGTTGGTTCTTTGTCTGTCCATTGTTTTATAACCACCAACTGACTATTTCTGGGCTTTTGTTTTTGTTTTGAAAGGGACATCCTTTGTGGTAGGTGCCCTCCGCTGAAAGGCGACACAGATCAGAGGGGTGTCCTCAGGGGCTTCCTGTCTATGGCCAGGTCCAGGTGCACCCACCCAGGAACTGTGCTCCAGAGATGAAGGGTCTGTGAGCTGCCAGGCCATCGGAGGGGCCAGGGTGGGTCTGAGGGTCAGCACTGATGTGGCATCTGGGGAGCAGAGGTCAGCAAGCGTCAGTGGGGCACAGGTGGGCCTGGCAGCCTGGAGAGAGCAGGACAAGGTCAAGTGTCAGGCAGGGAGGCTTGCCTGAGGCTCAGAGGCGGGGGCTTCTGCTGGCAAGCTTGGGTGCCTGCCCTGCCCACCCCTCCAGGGTCTGGTTCTGGAATAATCTGCACTTCCTGGAAACATAACCACATGCCCAGAAAGGGTTTCCCAAGAAACCTCCCCCAGATCAAATAAGTGCTGTGAGCAGCTACGTATTTACCAGCCCTGCGAAGACATCTGACTGGTTTCCCAGCTGAAGTCGGCCAGTGGTGAGGGTGACATATGGTCTGATCATGGCTGTTCTGCAAAGCCCAGCCCGGGGGACAAGAGAGAAAGCTCTCAGGGAGGGATGCGGACATAGATGGGCTCCCTCTCTCATCCTCTAGGAAAAACTGGTAGCATAGGGGGAGGAGCTTCCTGATTAGGTAACCTGGCTGTTTAAGAGGGTACCCGGGCCTGCTTCTCCACAGGTAACCCAGAGCCCCTGCTCTGGCCACCTGGCCCACTTTCCTTTCCAGCCTGCATCCCTGACCCTCTGTCCTCATGCCTCCTCACACGCACTGCCCCAGGCACCCCGTCTCGTTTCCCAGTGTTGTGCCTTTCCTTATGTCATTCCCCCGCTTGGAATGACCTCTTCCACACTGTGCACCAGGCAGGCTAACTCCAGATCCTCTCTAGTGGCCAGATCAGATAGTGCTCTTCCAGAAAGCATCCCTCAGCTCTGCCCGGCTAGCAGTTGGAAGCAGGAGCTGGTGCCTCAGTGCCCCTCCACCTCTGTTGGAGCCTGGTGCAGAGATCACGGCCTGGCCCCTGCGGACCACTGTGCCTCACACATCACGGGCAGTGGGGTGTGGGGGATGGGCTAGTGCTGCTGGAGCCCTTTGGATGCCTCCGGCACTCACGGCATTCAATAAAAAGACACCCCTGCCATCAGTACCTACAATCCGAATCCCACGCCAGGCCTCTATATGTCCAGCTAAGCCTCCAGGCCTTCCTGGTTCCCCGTGCTTTGCAGCCATCCCCTCCGATCCTCGCACCCCTGCCTGTGGGCAACACCGCAGCCCACGAAGTGATGCCCAGAGGGTAACTGACTTGCCCAAGGCAGAGATTCGAGCTCTGCTGGTCTGTTCACCACCTCCCTCCAGACTTTTTCTTTTGAATTGGTGGCTGGTGTCAGACTCCAGCCCTTCCCTGGTACTTCCTTGTGCTGCTCAGTGATGTCAGCAGGGGTGCCCTGCCCAGGCCCCCAGGGACCACCCAGCCTGACGTCCTGGGCTCCTCAGGGAGGGGTCAGATGGGATGGGTGTTGGGTTCTGACTTGTTGGAATAAGTACCCAAGCTTTGGCCAGCTGAAGGAGCACTTATGTCTCCCTGGGCAGCTTGGACTATCCTGGTCCCCTTGTACCCCAGGGGAGAGCAGGGGGCCTCCTAGAGCTGGGATCTTTCTCCAGCAGGAGCCTTTTTAGCTCTGAGCCAGAGGGGCTTGGGGTTTGTGGAGCACCTCCATCAGTCACCGTGAGGACCTGGGGCGACAACATTGTCTGGGGGCGTGGCACTGTCCCTGGACACCCCAGTGGGGTTGATGAGACTCGGGTGCCTCAGGTGGGGGTACTGGAGCCCACAGTGCAGACGGTCATTTAGGGTGTGAAACGAGAGTTCACGGGGAGAGGGCACCGGGGGCCCCTGCTGCCCCTGTCTGCCGTGTGTGTGTGGTGACAGTGCCGTGACAGACACCGCATGTCACGCCGGAGCCTCTCCTCCGGAGAGCAATTTGGTAATCTCCCCTTCAGGGGAGAGTTGCTCTTTGCAGCGTATTCTGTGGAATTAAGTGAGCCTCTGAGTGTCACTCCAGGGTTATGTGTGCTCCGCTGGCTCTGATGGCAAAGACGTGCCGAGGCCCCGTCACTTGTAATTACACATTTGCAGAGTGAGTGAGGCCAGGCGCAGGCGCGGCTCGCCGCCCTCTGTGCCGCCTCCGCTCTGCTCGTGCAGGCGGCAGCCCGGCCGAGGGCGCCCAGAGGGTGGCTTGGCGTGAACCTAGAATTTAGGTCAAGTGGGACATTGCGGAGATCCCCGAGAGGGGTGGAGGGCCACACCTGGAAAGCACCAGTGATGCTTTCAAAGCATTTATTTTACTGTCACTGTCTGGCCCAGGAGGGAAAGCAGCCTTCTGGTGTTTTCTCAGGCAACAATCAAGTTGCTGTCACTACCAGCAGCCCAGAGTGCTTACTGGAGCTCAGCGGTATATCCGGTTTAAGGGACAGTCTTTGCCCTTAAGGGTCCTAGAATACACAGCAGAAACCCCAAAACTATGTACAGTGTCTCAGTCAAGGGTGAGAGATTGCTATCTAATAGTCATACAGAGAATGTGGTCGAAGGCCATGCTGAGGCCACATGGCCGGGCCACACGGCAGGTGCCGAGAAGGATGCATGTGGTCAGCTCGCCCCTGCATTGGAAGCAGGGCCGCTCCCCCTGCCTGGGCCTCTTCTGCCCACCTTGCATTTCATCCTCTATAGGTCCCCAGAGACTGCACCACGCCCGACAGCCAGCCAGGGCTCAGGGAACATTTCCTAAGTGAAGGAGTGGGCAAATGGATGCTCCCATCCTACGTCAGGAGTATGGAAATTGGGGTCCTTGGGGTTGCAGATGCCTCTGATTTCATAAAACTAAGCCTGGAAGCATTGGAACAGAAATGGAAAAGCAAAGCAAAGCCACTTAGCCAGCCACGCAGGCTGCCCCGCTCCGCAAGGCCAGCCCGGTCAGCCACTCCCAGTGCCCCGCCTGAGGGGCCGCGGGTCGGGCCTTGCGGAGCGTGTGCTGGGGGGGGGGGCGCCCGGTGGCTGCTCTGAGCCCGGGCTGGGGCCGACACACTCTTTGTCTCGTCTGAGGCTCCTGTGCCATGAGTTAATTGGCACTAGGGCACCATCCTCGCCAGCCTGGTGGCTACACTGATTCCTGATGGTCCTCACGTTTGCCTGCACACAATCACTCCACGCAGGATGTAATTAAATCCTTTGAACAGCACTTTGGGACATTCGATTATGTAGAAAAACTCCACAGAAATGTAAGCTGTTGTGTGCAGCTGGTCCCCCCTGTGGTTTCTGACGGTGCTCACTGTTGTATGAAAATGGCCTTACAGCGAGGGGAGGGGACGAGGCCAGAGGGAGGCCAGCGGCACTCCTGCGTGGGGCCCACCCCACCCCTCGCCCCCCACCCGCCCACGTGGGCCCTGACGATCCCTCTGCCCTTCTCTCCCCAGGAGCTGCCAGAGCATGACGAGCCTGTTCAGCAGCGCCATGTCGCCGACCCAGGACGGGACGTCCTCTCTGCCCAGGAGGCAGAGCTCGTTCCCCAAGCCCCCGCTGCGTGCCCTGTACGACCTGCTCATTGCGCCCATGGAAGGGGTGAGTGGCTTCCGGGGGCACAAGGCTCCTGGCCATCAGGGCATGTCATTTACCCGGCAGTGCCCCTGCGTATCCCCTTAGGTGCAGAAACGGGCCCTGAAGACAACCAGAGGTTGTCCAGACCACACGACTCCTCTGTCCAGCTTTTCGGCATTTGAAGGCTAAAGTGGGCGCACATTCTTAGCTGGTTGCTGGTTATCGGACATGGCCTCGAGCTTCCAGTGGGCAAATCTGGGCTCAAGTCCTAGCTCTGCTCCTCACAAGCCAGGGTAAACGTGCTCCCGTTACCTCACACGCAAAGTGAAGTGGTGCTCCCTTCCCGGCCTGCCCAACGCCGTGACCTTGCGGCCCAGGGAGGTGCAGGCTACGCACATCTAAGCAGCCCCCAGCAGGACCAAGCTGTCAGCGCCGGCCCCATGTGCCCAGGGCTGGGGCTGCCCTTCCCACCTGGCATCGCCGCGGGGACGTGGCCTTGGCCCTGCTGTTCCCAGGGGGCTTCTTTTCACCTTGTCCCCACGCCCTGTGGGGGCTGAATGCTTCCCCACCTCTCGTTCTGGAATCTGGTCTGAGCATGTGCAAGCCAGGGCTGTGCCTCCTGGTGAGAAGGAGACCAGAGCCAGTTCCCGCCGCCTCTTTCCTGTCAGGAGTCGCCAACCCCACGTCGGAGTCCCTGGGACAGGACTCGCGTAAGCTCTGCAGGCAGGTTTGCTGTGGCCTCTCACCTGCCCTGCTCTCTGCACGCCACTTTTTAATTCAGACGCCGCTCTCTAACTGGACGGGGGACACCGGAGGGCTCAGGATCCATGTGGATCCCGTGGCGAGCCCGTCAGGCGGCGCGCTGCCCGTCGGGAGCGCACGGGGCCTGCAGCAGGCCGGGCAGCTCTCATCTCAGCTGCGCTGTGGCCCTTCCTCCTCGGCTGGCCGCGGTCTGTCTCGCAGGTGGCAGGTGACCCCTCAGCAGCTCTCTCTCCCTCGTCAGCCACCTGACGGGGTTGAAGCCCATCCTCAGGATACCGTATCTTGACAATGACTCCTTTGTTCCTAGAAAATGCTCCTATCTTTCCCACCCGACTTTCCAAGCATGTGTCGCAACTTGCCTGACGTCTGTGGGAGGCTGTCCTGCCCGCCAGTGCTCTAGGACTGCCCTGGTCGGGGGTGGCTACGGTGGAACGCACAGAGCGCTGGGAGCCGGCACAGCTAGACGTACTTCTGGCACTGCCCTTCCTGGTTGGGCGACCTTCGTGAAGCTGTTTCCCCGCCTGGAGTGTCTATTATGGAAAATGAGGGTCACCCCACCCCATGTGTCAGCTTAAAGCAGGTTAGATAAAAGTGCAAAGTGCCTGAGGCAGCAGCAGCGGCGAATGTGCCCCCGGCAAGTGGTGGCTGCCCGTGCCCAGGTTCCTCCTTTAAGTGCTAGGTCGCCGCCCCTGTCCCTCCGAGCCTTCCCTCCGGGGCCTCCTAGATCTGATCACACCAAACACAGAGGCCCAGCCGGTCCTCTCCTCCCCTGTGATGCCACTCCTTGGGTGCACTCAGCAGCCTTCTCTTCTTAGGATTATTGTCCTCTCCTGTGTCCTTTTAATGGGGTGACCAAAACCGCAGAGAGCTCTCCACCTCAGAGCTCCTCGGATGCCATAATACCTTACCTGATTTATGCGCCGTGCCTTGGAGGAAGAAATATACACCTAGCCCCTGAGGCTGCTTTTTTCAAGTTTCCTTTTCTGCCATTAACTGTCACACAGACCATTCCGGTGACTTACTGCCAGCCTTCCCTCCTGCTTGCCCTGTTTCCCATGGAACCTGCTCCGGTGAAGGGTATTTGGACACCATTCTTCACCCACTGGGCCTTCTCTGTCCCTTCGTGTCTCTCCTTTTGGACTCAGATCTCCAGATTACTTGCGCCATCAGTGTTGAACTGGCAGGGGGGACCCAGGACGGGAGCAGGGGGTGCTGGCTGTGACTGTCACCACTGGCCCTGGTGAGGCTCTGGCCACCTGGACCTGCAGGCCCCTCTCATCTCTGGCCCAGCTCGTGTCACCTCCTCTTTGGAGCCTTCCTGTTGCTTCTCCCACCGACTGAACCCTTCGCCCCCTCCCCACCCCTGGGCCGTTTCCGTACCCGGATACTGTCAGCTCTACAGTGCGGCCCACATCCACGCAGTCAACCAGCAATGCATTGAAAATATCCAGAAAAAAATTCCACAAAGTTCCAAAAAGTGAAACTTGAATTTGCCACTCTGAGTGCTGCGCGGAATCCACGTGGGTGAGGTGATGCGCCGCATCGTAACAGGTGCTCTGAGCAGTCCAGAGCCGCCGCGCGGCCTGCGGGAGGATGTGTGCGGGCTGGATACAAACGCTGTGCCATTCATAGCAGAGGCTTGAGCTTCCTAGGATTTTGGCATCCGTGGGGTCCCGGAGCAAATCCCTCCAGACACTGCGGGATGACGGCACTGGACTGGACTCGGAGCTTAGCTCTTTGCCTCTCGTCCTCCACCGTGCCTCCCCCCACACGCCCTGGAGGCGAGGACTGGCATGCATTTCTGTGTCCCCGGGCCTGGCACACTTGGGCACTCAGTGAAGTTATGCAATGGCATGTGGTCCAAAGCTGCGTCTGCATGTTGGGTCTGGCTTGGCATCGAAAGCAGGAGACCTAGGGGAGAAATAGGCTGGCGGGCTTTCTGTGGCCACTCGGGGCGAGCCTGGGGGCTTCCCGTGAGGGGACGCAGCAGGAAGGGGCTGGGCCTGCTCTTGAGCTTTGGATCTGTGAGGCCCCCTGAATGCCCACCAGCCAGCGGGGTTATTTCAGGGTGGGGCCACAGCCCCGTTGACATGAGTCCACGTTGAGCCAGGTGAAGGTGGTGGGACTGTTGTGGGGGCTCTGGCTTGAGGCTGGAATCCGCTAGGTGTAGACCACCAAGAGGAAGCTGAAGGCTGAGGGCTTCCTGGAGCTGGTGGCCCCGATCCTCCCAGGACTTCCACGTGGGAAACCGCCGCAGCGCCATGCCATGGTCGTCCCGGAAGGGGGTCCTCTGAGTTTATAAAATCTGCACTGTGTGTTTTAGGCAGTTTTTATCCCTGAGGACTGTCTCCTGTGACTTAAAGAATAAAAATATGCTAATGCGGTTGGTGGGAGCTGGCACCTGGACAGCCTCATTTCCTCCAGGAGTGCTCGCAAGCGGAAGAGGTATGGACTCAGCCTCAAACACGTTAGAACGACGGTCAGAATAATGCCTTTGTAAACTAGAGAAGGAAAGGCCCTGCCACCAGATACGTGACCGCCCCTTAAAGGCCGCCAGTGGCGCCCCGTGCATGTGCTGCCATCCAGGAGCCGGTTGCAGGGACGAAGGTGACGGGGCCTCGCGCTTGCCATCGGGCTGCAGTGAAGGCAGGCGTTTAGTTGGAAAGAACATCCTCAGTTCCTGATATTCGAAAATACCCTCTCTTGTGAATCACGTGTTTGAACACAGTGAAGGAGTGTGGCAGCTTCAAACGAGACAGAGTGAAACCTTTTTAAAGCCATTAAATTATCAGAGCAAGAGTTGTTCCTTGGCAAACTGAAATGATCTGTTGTATTTCAGTAAAAATGCTTAACTGAAAAGTTGGGCTCTAATTAGGAGTCCTCTCCATCCCCGGTTCTATCTATTCATTCAACAGATATTTATTGACGTCTGCCAGGCACACACTGCCCTGAACCCGAGGAGACAGCAGAGAGGCTGGGCCAGGCCCTGTCTTCTGTCTGCTCTCAGGCTGTGCTCAGTGGGAGTGGCAGGCCAGCGCCAGAGGCTGGTGGGCTGCACCGAGTTGTGGCAGGTCGTCCTTGGTGACCCCTTCGTCTCAGCAGAGTCCAGTCACCCCTCCTGACCAGGCCACCGGGGTGGAGCAGGCGGCCTCGGTCATTCTCCCACTTCTCACTGCAAGCAGCCTGCGCCCACGAGGGGGCGACATGACACCGTCACCCGGCTCTGAGCCTGCCGCTCGCTGTCAGCTGCCAGACAGCCAGGACCATCTCCACGTCTTCAGTGAGAATACAAATCAAAACCGAAGGCCCACGATTATGAATCACTGACACTTCAAGACTAAAACGATTAGCCTCTTCACAAGGGGCATATAATTATTTGAACAACTGCCTTTGTTTGGCCGCAGTCCTGTTGCTAAGGGACTAGGTCAGGCAGTATGAAAAGTGGAACAGAATAATATTTTACCGTAGGCCTTGCACCAGTATTTGATTTAATTTGGCTTAAGGGAAGCGCGGCCGTGGCTTTTTCCCGGAACCATGCTGTCCTTTGCTGTCAGGACAGGGTGAGCATGTCCACTTATCTTTGAGGCGAGCCCGGTTACATCTGCACACGAGCCATCATGTAACATTAGGTCAAATCCTGTCTGATGCCCAAAGGAGAAAATGTCACCAAAGAAAAGTGGCAAGGGTTTAGTGTGAAAGGGACGAGGGTGTGTTTGCATCTATGGCCTTAGTTTTTAATCAAGTTAGAGTGAAGCATGGTAATCTGTGCTTTGGCCGAGGCCCTCCACTCATTGTGAAAGGACAGATCTTGGACCCATCCTGGCCCCACATCCTGAAGGCCCAGGGCCACCTCAGAGCGTGCAGCAGGGCCCTCCCGCCCAGCCACACACATGTGGCGTGGCCCTGTGGGCCTGCTGTAGGTGGGGCTGCTTGTGCATCCGGGTCCCAAGTCACCACTTGGTTTGCAGGTAGGGCCTTTGTTCAAATATAAAAGCTGCCACAATCAAGGGACCAGATTTAGAGTTGGAAATTCCCCAGGTTTGGTCAAGTCACTCTTCTTTTTTTTTTAGACAGAGTCTCGCTTTGTTGCCCAGACTAGAGTGAGTGCCGTGGCATCAGCCTAGCTCACAGCAACTTCAAACTCCTGGGCTCAAGCGATCCTGCTGCCTCAGCCTCCCGAGTAGCTGGGACTACAGGCGTGTGCCACCATGCCTGGCTGATTTTTTCTATATATATTAGTCAGCCAATTAATTTCTTTCTAT